CTTACCTCTGCTCGGCCGTTTCCCGATGCCCACTTTATTTATGCTGCCTGTCCCAGTAGACAACCTCTAGCCACGTGGAAGGAAGCAGAGCTTGTGACTACATTCTTTTTTGTTGGCTAGTGAGAAAGACTGCCTTCTTTCCTTTCTCTCCATAGGGTCCAGTATTGCCAGGAACAGGGCCAACCTCTTCCTGGGTTTTGCCCCACGTGCATCCTCTCACTTGCTGATAGTTAGTTACTGCTGGGAAAGAACAGTGCAGAGAAGAAATCACAGAATAGGCTTGCTGGCGTGCAGAGTGCATTGGGAAGTGGATTAAGGCAGAGGTGGTTAGATGAAAATTTAATACCTTATCATTTGATCTCCCTTTTGACCTATTTTAAGGTTGTTTTAGTTTTTAATATTTTCTACTTCCTTTTTGATTGTGGCTTTTCTGTTTTACTTGGTTATAGGTTGTTGTTGTTTGTTTGTTTTTTTAGGTATGTTTTTCTGCATAAAGAGACCCAGGATTGGTAAATCTAGAGAGACCGTAACTGGATTAATGGTTTTTCTTGGGGGGAAATGGGAAGCTAATAACAATGAGTACAAGAAAGAAGAAACTGTTCTAAAATTGATTGTGGTGATGACTGTAATCATTTTATTAGGAGCTCATACAACTCTTATCACAACCCATATATACATCAGCTGTCTAAAGCACATTTGTATACTCGTTGCCCTCCTCATTCTCAAAACATTTGCTCTCCACTTAAGTCCTTGGCATCAACTCATTTTTCTCTCTCTCCCCCCTTCCTCATGAACCCTTGATAATTTATAAATTATTATTTTGTCATATCTTACACAGTCCAATGTCTCCCTTCATGCACTTTTCTGTTATCCATCCCCCAGGAAGGAGGTTATATGTAGATCCTTGTAAGCAGTTCCCCCTTTCCACCACCACCATCCCTCCATCTTCTCAGTATCGCCACTCTCAGCACTGGTCCTGAAGGGATCATCCGCACTGGATTCCCTGTGTTCCCAGTTCCTATCTGTACCAGTGTACATCCTCTGATCTAGCCAGATTTGTAAGGTATAATTGGGATCATGATAGTGAGGGAGGAGGAAGCATTTAGGAACTCATCGTTGCTACACTACACCCTGACTTGCTCGTCTCCTCCCCATGACCCATATGTAAGGGGATGTCCAGTTGCTTACAGATGGGTCTTGGGCCCCCAATCTGCTCTCCCCCTCATTCACAATGATTTGATTTTTTTGTTCGGATGATGCCTGATCCCTGATCCCTTCGACACCTCGTGGTCACACAGGCTGGT